GGGGATCCCTGACCTGAGTACCCGTTTAGTGGGGAATCCCCGTTAGGGTCCGGTGAGCCAGGTTCCCCACCTGCTCGGGGCAAATCACCATCCTTACTCGTGGAAGGATTATGATATGATAATTAAACAATTTCCACATTTTCACCGTGCGAGTTTGGGAGGCGAGTAATGATGCAAGAGTACGCTCTACACGACCTTTGATCAAGTCATTACATCATTGAAATTTGGCATCACGATTCTTGACCTTTTAATGGTTCTCACATGATTATACCTTTATACAGATATAGGACCTTGTAGGATAACCATAGGAACTCCTCCATAATCCTAGGATAAATCGTGCCTCATGATTTGACGCACCAAAAGGAAGATGTGGTAGCACCGTAATTAAGTGGAACTTCAGTGGCAGCATTGTAGGAGAACACATAAGTTAACATACCTTGACCTTCATTTGACATGTTAACATACCTAAACATCCATCAACAATTGGAATTGGAACTGCAGGAAAGGGAAAAAGACTCGACTACCCTCGAGTTAACGGAGTCACTGTTAACAAAGTTAGGGAGATGGGATTGTAGTCATGCAAAAATGACAATCATGTCATTTACACTATATAATATGTATAGAGAGAGCAAACTACAAACTTGGTCCCTGTCGTTTGATGGTTATAATCCTTTTCGTCCCTACACTTTCAAAATTACAAGATATCCATTATGGTTTGCAAAAGCCCTCGGATTTGGTCCATCCTTTTAATGGCTGTTAAAATCCCGTTAAGTCGGATATTTCGAAACTATTGCCGCCAACCACCATGCCACTTATCACAACCGTTCCCCTCCCCCGCCACCAGCGATACCACCATGTCACTATTGTTGTCATCATAACTGCCATCCCACCTTACCCCACCACACAGCCGTCACCACCATGCCAAACAAACACAGAGATTCCAATTCTTTTGAGAGATTTCATTCCAATTCCTACCAACCAAACGCGTGGTCAAATTCCATCAATTTCAAATCCAATTCCTTCAAAGTCAAATTTCTTCAATGGATTCCAATTCCACCAAATTCTACTCTGCGAATAAAGCACCCCCTAAGGTGGCGTTTGATTTGTTGGAATCTGACGGAATTTGAAGGAATTGGAATGGCCAATTTCAAACACTTGTTCGATTCATTCTCAATTTCATTCCATCTCACCATAATGGTTATCATCACCACCATAGCTGTCGTCGTTGCCACCATCTTTGTTACCACGGTTGCTTCATCATAGTTACTACCGTCGTCATCACCACTACTACCACCACCGTCATGGTCATCATCACCACCACCATCACCCCGCAGTCATCGCCACTACTAACACTTCCACTCCACCACCACTATTATATCAACTAACCAAACAAATTATGAAGGGATGTTTTGGTTTTAACACTAAATTATTATAATTCTGAATTTATTTTTAGCGAACCAAGTAAGCAAATTCTAAATTCTTTTGACAGATTCCATTCCAATTCCTGCAAACCAAACGCATTGTCAAACCCAATTAAATTCTATTCCAATTCCTTCAAAGTTCAAATATTTTGGCAGATTCTATTATGTGAACCAAATGCCACCTAAGTTTATGGTTGTCTCGATACACGCATGCACAAACCAAGCCTAATTACTTCTTTTATGTACATCATTTCTAAAGTGTACATAATCACTTGAACAAACCACACCATTTTACAACACTCTCTACATCAATGCATTACTGTTAGGAATGGTCTAATGTCACAGTGGTTTTTACTCATTCAAGGGGTTTTCTGCATCTCCAACCGTAAAATGTTATTTACTTTATCACACATTTACTTTATCATAGCTTTGTGTTTATTTAATTATCAAATCGTTGGGACTTTAACCAAAACTCGTTGCTAAGTAAATTTCGGCCAAAACACCGTCTTAGAGATGGAGTACGCGAAGAAGGGGGAGGTGCTAAGGTAAGTGTGCATGAAGGAAGAGAGGAAAGAGAGGAGACATATACTTAAAGTTTTTTATTTAACAAACTAATGAAAAAAGCATCAATTACATCTCATATGCCTTAGTACACCTCCCCTTCAAGTGTGCCTCAATCATGGAAGGCATATGGCTCAATTGCATCTACAAAGGCACAACCTCGCAATCAGTTTCAGATCGACTCGCTTCGACCATTTTTTAAATTGAGGTAATCGTATGAAAAGAAATCGCATGCAAGGATTTGTGACAGATTCTTTAAAGATATTTGGAAAAAAATATCTAAACTTTGTACATGGTTTATATATTACATAACGAATGTCTCAAACTAGAGGCGTGTAATTCTATTTGAATAATCGAAAAAATTGGTATGCTTTGTTTTAGATTTAAGAAAATCTATTGTAACTACAAAAATTTGAAAAAAAAAACATTATATTGGGAAAATTGAAAAATTTTACCCCAAATTCTACACTATAATGGTTTGTTGTAAATGTAAAGCCAAATACAAATGTTTCAAATATTATTGAGATAGGATCTTATGAATTTTTGTTGGAAGCTAAAAATAAAAATAAATGCAATGGCTACAAATGATACTCAACTATGGGTGATTGATACGATATTGTGCCTTTCTCCAATACCGTGTACCAACCAATTATTATTGATTAAAAAAATCATATATCAAGTATCAACCAAATAAGGCTCTGATAAGTGCCAAATTTGCTATATATTTTATGATCTTGCATAATTCCCATTTTTGTGGCTAAAAGAAACCCACTAAACGTGTTTTTATCTTTTCATCACAGTTTAATATAATAAAGAAAACGCAAGGAAAAATGGTTGGCATATTTGAGAGGGTTGTACAGAACAAGTGGTCGAAGAAAGGATGATTGAAAAAAGATGCTACCCTACCATGCCAGACAGGGTCGCACACCATGGTCATATATAGGGTCTAAACCTATGGTACACAAAATGCTACCCTAACATGCGAGGGTCACATAACGCACTGTAGAGACCAATTTTGCCAATTTTCAAATCTTGAGCAGTTTTCAAAATTTCTTGGTATAAATTGGGTTTAAAGCCGCCATTTGAGAGAGAGCAAACCTAGGGACGATTTCTGGAGCAACTGAGAGGAGTTTGAAGCTTTTCTACCATTTTCTTCATGTTTAATTTTGTAGGTAAGTAGTTTCTTCATTCCACAATAGTGTAGCCTTTGATTTTGATGCATTTTGTTTAGCGATTCCTATATAACGATGTTTGAGTAAGTTTATTTGCTTGACTTTCGTATTATATTTTGGTGTATTAATTAATTTGATCAATTGATTGGTACCCATTTAATGGTGTCATTTAAAACCTTAAATATGTAATTGTTTAGGTATTTTCATAAAGTGAAAAATGATATGTTTGATTTTCATAAGGTTTTCAAACATACACTGAATTATTGCAATCAAAGCCCTAGTAAGCCGAGCTTGTGAGCTTATTGCTTTGAATCAGTGAGTTTCCTAATTTGCTGATGCTAATCACACTTGGGACTTAAGAGCATGTTTAAAACTTTATTTGTTGTTAATATTCAACCATAGAACTTATTTTGGTTAGTGTCGAATTAAGGAAAAATTGAGGTTGTAAGCGCTTGTTGACAACTATAGTCGGTTTAGACTTGTCATGTCTTCTTTTGCACTGTAGGAAATGATGATAAACATTTTGCATCATATCAGGCGAAGCCATTGTTGGTCTTTTTTTTATAATTATATTGGTTTTTATCATATGTTCATATTAGTTCATCAAATCCAAACTCCCCTTTTACTTAAAGGGTAGAAGTCAAATAATTATCACGTCCAATCTTTGTGAATTTGACCTCACTTACCACTATTACAATTTAGATTGTGATTTAGGATTGTAAGAACTTATTATTTGCCGGTTTTGACAGGTTATGTTTTATGGGATTTCAAAAACCAGACAATGTTCAATAGTTGATTAGATTAATAACTACGAAATAAATAAATAATTAATAAGTTACTTAAAGTTGGTATGTACTTTACTACCATGGTATAAGATTTCTGATACCGCGTATCAACCAAGTTTACATATTTGATATGATAATACCAACCGACTTAAATTGGCACGGTTGATATGCAACTTGGTTGATTTGATTTGGTATGAATTTGACACCCATGTACTCACTTCTCTTTTCACATTCATACACACACATTTTTGGAAAATAGGAGAGAACAACCATGTAATTAATAATAAATGTGATTTATATCCAAACATCGGTCTTTTTTAAGCATATAATATTTATGAAACGTAAATGTAACAAATAAACTCATACACTCTCTAGTCTCTAGGAAGCCAAAGACTAGCATACCGCTAGCGCTAGGTCAAAGACCCTTAATCCCAACATCTGTCTTGATCTTGGCGATGTTCGCTAAAAAGAGAGATTAATCTATTATGGAAGTAAAAAACCTTCTAATCACTGATCTATAATATGCTATTATGTGGGATGTTTCTCAAATTCCTGATGACAAATGGCTCGAAACTAATGAATAAAGTTCTACAATAAACATTGAAGAAAGTGTGTAATTACAGTCTGACAAGAATGGAAACATATAAAAAAAGAGCTAGAACAAATGGGTTGAAAACTAGAAAAATCAAAAAAACTCCTGGGGAAAATCGAATCAACATGCGAGCTACAAATGAGTGTATATTTGCATTCCAAACTCCTCACGCCACCAAGAACAGCTGATTAAGACTCGATTGACTGAAACTCACTAAAAAGCTACATCTCAATAAGACTTATCTGTATTGCAGAGAGTAGAGATATCGTACGGAGATATATACAACCCATAAAGATAGGAACAAATCTCAATGCCCTAGAAACCTCCATATATTCTAGAGATACACCGTACAGTTGTACAGAGCAGTACACACGCATGTATAGAGAAAGATACAACAGATATGAACAAATCTTTTGAAGATAGGATCAAAACTCAAATTCAATAATATGTAAAAAATGATGATAAGCACCTGTTGGTACCGCCGTTCGAAGAGCTTGCCGCCGGAGACGAGGAATTCGCACAGGACAGAGAAGTGCCGTACGTTCTTAAATAATCCGGCACTCCGCTTTGAAAAACCTGCAATTCTATCGTCGATCCGCTTCATTTCTTCTAGCTTCTTCCGCCTGATTCTTTCTCTAAAAGAGAGTATATTCTAGATCTACAAGTTTTCAACCACCGGATAGCATCTATTTGATGTTGTTAGTGAAGGAAGCATGACCTGTGATTCATTTGCAGTTTGCAGTAAAAGAAAAGTGACGAGGATGATGATGAGGATGATACTTATCCAGGACGCACAGCTCCTGCTTAAATTCTATCCACCATTAACTTTATTAAAACACACGGTGCTTGTCCGTCCTTCCTTTTCTTTTCAAAATGATACCAAAATTGGTGTCAAAATCTAAATATCTGAAAACATTTTATGTAATTTTATTTTGAAGGGAGGGAAGTTAATTGTACCTCTTCGCATTCCATCCCATCCCATTGCTAATTGCACTCCTATGTCCCTGTATAATAATTAGGCTTTTTTTGTTTTCCTTGTACTTTCATCTTCTTTCTTTTTTTTTCTTTTGATATATAGTGATAAGGAATGAATTGTTCACATTTGAAGAGACCCGCCTAACCCATTCATATTTTTATAATAACTAAAGGGCCGTTTGGCGATTGCTGAATGGTTTAGTGCAGAATGATTAAGTGGTCAGGATGATTAAGAGACTCTGTATGATTTAGTGTCAGATAGAAAAAGGTTGTTTGGAAATTGTTCTGAATGAACAGTCTGAATGACATAAAATTACCATTTTACCCCCAGTTTTGTGTTTAATGAAAATTAACGTTTGATAACAGTTCTTAAGAAAATTTCTAAATGAAAAATATAAATAATTAATGGTCCAAGCCAATACATAATATTATATCAATTCAAACAAGCATGACAATGTTTGTTCAAGTTTTGGCATAACAAAACATCACATGAAACACAACTTCAAACCCAATATTTTGATTACAACATCTAATTTGAAGCATTTAACACCAGTTGATTTGCAATCTCATTACGCAAATTAGTCATGTACTCACTGTCTTGGGGACCCCAAGGTGTTGCATTTATCTCTTCTTCCTCGCCTCCATCAATTTGTTCTTGTGCTTCAGTAATGCCCATGGGATTATTATCATAATCCATGAATAATTGATCTTGCATGTTGCATCTTCTTATAAAGTTGTGGATCGCGAAACAAGCAATTACAATGTTTTTTTGTATGAGAAAAGGATAAGGGGCCATTTGCTTCAAAATTGGGAATCTTGCTTTCAATACACCAAAAGCACGTTCGATAACATTTCTGAGTTGTGCGTGGGCATGATTGAATCTTTCTTCTTTTGTCAAGGCACGTCGACGTCGAAAATCAGCTAGCCAATATCTTGTATTGCGATATGGAGTCAAAAATCCACGCGTGTTGGCATATGCAGCATCACAAAGATAATATTTTTCTACATTTAACATGTAAGAAAAATTTATTTTTAAGTAAAATGTATAAGAAATAAATTATATTCAATATTAAGTAAAAATTCTAAATACCTGGTGTAGGAAATGGAAAAACCAGAAGTTGGGTTCAATGCAACTTATCTTAAAACTCTAGCATCATGTGCTATGCCCTCCCATCCAGCCCAAACATAAGTGAATACCATATTAAAATCACAAATCGCTAAAACGTTTTGATAGCATTCACCTCTTCCTCTTCCCCTATAACGAGCTTGTTGATCGACAGACACAACTGCATGTATGAGAGTCCCATCTAACGTACCTATCGCCTCCTTTATTGAAAAAAGTATAAACTATAAGAAACTTTTTTAACTACGTTTTGATTTTACAAATTATATAAACGAAAATATACCAGAAATATTCTTCTAAGATTTCTTTGTCGTTCTGACATGTTGGAGGTTTCTTCATTGGGCATTGGTCCTACAACTTCTCTAGCAAATTCCATCATTGCTCGTAGTACTTGACGRAAATATCTATGGATAGTTTCTGTTGAGTGTTGAAATCTTCTTTTAATCATTCTATAGCGTTCATTGTGACCTATAATTGTTAAAAAAATTACCATCTTCTCCTCAACAATTGCATTCCTACTATTTTGCAACAATTGCATCTTCTCCTCAACATATAAGCATCACGAGAAAGGCGCATCAACTCAAGACATTGTGTATTTGAGCCATTTAATAGTTCTAGAGTATACGCATGGCCGGACAACAATGAAGTGTTGTCTCTTATCCTTTTGATTCTTGATGTAGCTTTTCGTTTCAAATACAACCAAAAAAGYAACAAAAGCAACAATTCTTCCTCAACATCCATAGAGAACCTTGCAAATAAAAATAATTACAAAACATGACTGAAAGRTTAATTTGCACGSTCAAAGATAAATCTTCATTCAAAAGATAGCATCATATCAAAAGACATGTTCAATAGTTATGTCATACAAAAGTCATGTGTTCAAAAGCAAAACATCATTCAAAAGGTAGCA